CCTCTTTTTTTCAGGCTATCATCAGTAACAGTTCAGTAAATTTCATTTACAGGACCAGTAACTACAATAATTCACAATTTGGCCTGTCAATTTTAAACAATAATTATAGAGAAGAAATTAATACCTCAAACATTCAATATGAAAAGAGAAAGAATCACATTTACCATTTTATTACCCACAAAAGTTATAGCCTAATTTATGTTTCAGTATACATTAGTCTTACCCTTAAACAAAAAATATAATCAAGCATTAAAAACCTAATATTGTTACATTTGGAGATACACTGAATTATAACATTACCATCACATTTTCCTGTCATTTGCTATTGATTTATTGAAACACTGTGAATCACCTTCAGCTGTGATTAATGTAAAAACTGTTCTTCATTACCATCATAAACGAGAACAAATTTAACACCTCTCACTGGTTTGCATTTTAACAAAGTTAAAAAATATTTTCAAATGTGATTTTTCATTTCCTTCTGCCCTTTCTCCAAAATCTGTCCCTGTCAGCTTCCTGAGAATATTTCAGCTATCCCAGGAATATTTCAGCCATCCTGCTGGGGCACATCTCTGCCTCACCAACAAATCTGTGTGCAAATCAGTGTTGAGGATTCTTCTCCTAAACAACACTCCTAGTTTGACCAAAATACTTTTTAAAAGGACAAAAACCTCAAAAATCTCTGACTAAAATCTGTTCATTTTCTAACTAAACAAACATCAATTGGGTATTAAGATCCAGAATTTTTTCCCCCACAGGTATTTTTAGTAGCATTTAATTCCATTTAGGGGATATTCTCTACAACCAATTAAAAATTATATTGGGGATAAAAGGTATTTATTCAATGTCACTTGGTACAGACTAAAACATTGGCTATATCTGATTAGGGAAACAATGACAAATATGATAATAACAATGCAGAGTTTCATTCTCTTCTACATGGTAAAAATCTAGATTTTTCTATGCATTTATACACCAGAGAAATTAAAGTCCTGTGTCAGTTAAATCTTAATATTAATTCTTCTTAACTGACATTGGCAATAAAAATACAATATTAAAATGAAATTAGCATTAGTTTCCTAATTAAAACCCATTTACAAGACATGTCATCTATATTTAGAACCCTGCCTTTCCCTAGAGACAGGAAGAACACTCACTGGGCTGTTATGTGCTTGTGCTTAAAAAATACCCTGAGATTTCACATTTTCAAGTGCCACCCTGATTTGAAACCTTGGATTTTTGGAGTAAATTCTGAATTTGGCACTGTACAGACTCTTATCTTCCCTTTTTAATGGCTAACTAAGCAATTTGTCATTGAAGTTTAAAAAATTCTCCCAGGAAAGCAACTTCCAGCCTGTCAGTGCAGGTTGCTATGGCAACAACCACCATGACTACACAGAGCCCAACCTTATTTAATGGCTAAAGTGGAAAAACAGCACAAGATAATATAATGAAATATCTTGTGGTGTGAGTATTGCTGGAAAAAATTAAATAAAACAAAGGACTACACTCCTCTACCCCATTTTTTGTTGGCACTTCATACCTTGGCTGGCAAAAAAGGCCTGCACTTTACCATAAAACCTTATTATGTTACAGAAATTGTGCAGCTCTGCTTCTCTTGGGACTTGACAGGTAAAACTCTCTGAAAATGAGCTTTTTTTATCTAAGGATAAGGGGTGTAGCTGCGTGGAGCAGAAGCAGCAAAGGGAACAGGCCTAAAAAATACAGTGAGGAAAAAGATGGATTCTAGCATAACAGTCTAAAAATAGATTCCCTGCAAACAGAGCATGAATGATGAATGGTTGAGGATCTTCAGAACTAACAGCTCCATCTAGAGTTAAAAACCAACGGATACCAAAACAAGCTGACAGGTAAAAGCTTCTCAAGACTTCTTAAAAACACCCTCTAAAACATCCTCCAAAAGCTCTCCCAATTTAAAATTTTGCTTTTAAATACTCTACACAAAAGTCACCTAATCCCTGAGAACCTAAATTGTTTGGTTTTTTCATTAAAACCAAGCAATTCAAAATTGAAATATGTAAGAGCTCTCATCTATCCCTTGGGCTTCCTGCTGCTCAGTGACATCCCCACTGCAATCTGAGGCTTGGGGAGGTTGGTACATTTTCAGTGGGATAAGATTTTAGCAGCACAGAATATCAAGGAATCAGCCTCCCAGCACTTCCAAAGAAATTCATACCCATGATCAACACTAAATGAACAGCCCAATCAGGGATATGACTTCCCGTACATGCAGCACTTTCCAGGCCCCAGCTGTTCACACTTATTTAAAATTAATACTGCTTTCTGCAGAGAACACTTTTGCATGGCTCCTCCCAAAGTAACTCAGCATGACTACATTTGATGTCTGCTCATCCTCTTGTTCCTCCTAAGTTAAATCTTACCTTGCAACCTACACAAAAATAATAAATTATATTAAGCCAATGCTTCTTGAGGTTGAGCATGCACTGGATACATTGTGGCTGTGCCTCCCAATATAATTATGATACAAGAATAGAATAAAAAGGGGCAGAAAACAGGGAGCTGCTGAAAAACCACTGGGTTAGAGGTCTGCTGCATTCCTGCCCCAGAACAAAGGCAGGCTTTGTTAGTCAGTCACCCCATGCTTCTGGCAACACCAGAGAGCCTCATGGGCTTTTTCCCACATTTTTTACACTTTCCCTCTCTTTATCATCCTCTCAATCCCTTCTTCCTCTTTCTCCCTCTTATATTGCTTTGCCCATTCACCTGTAGGACACCTGTACTTCCCAATGGCATCCCTACTCCTTTTAGCCCCATGTTCTTGACTCTATTTAGCATCACAAAGGGACAAATATTGTTTAACAAAGACCAAAACACCTTTACTACTTCCCCATAAAGTACATTAACATTAAAAATCCAGAACAAGCAAAACAACTGACATTTTATTACCATCATCATGTGATTTTTAATCTGTTCTGTGCTTCATATTTAATTGAAAAGCTGGGGCAAGTATGTTTTCACACACTAAATGACACTCACAAGCTGCTGTGGAAAGATTCCCACAGGGTAACAAACATCACCAGGAAATTTCCCTGAAATATTTGATTGTTGATTCATGCACTTCTTCCTCTGCAAAGTTGGTTTCCTTGACCATGCAGGAGCTACAAATTTTTAGCAAGTATCATCACAGTGTCCTAAAGTCCTGAAAAGCTAAAAGACAAACCAGAACATGCACAGGCAGTTGATAATGGAATTTTTTTCCTAGTGATTTATCACATTTGGAATACAAATACATGTTTAGGGTTATTAAAAATGGTTTGTATCCATTTCCTATTAAAAATTACTATTAAAAATGCTATTATTAAATAATGCTATTGTTAAAAATGGTTTGTTATCCATTTCCTACAGCAGAAGCCATCCTCATTTTGTTGTTTTGGTTTTTGAAAATGGCATTTTAAATAACATTTAAATCTGAGAACACAGTATTATTAATTCATATCATTATTAAAAAATGCTGAAAATACCTTTCACAACCTCAAAGCCATTTTGGTCCATTATTCACTAGTACCAGCAGAGACAAATAAGGGTCTTTCAAAGGAACAGTGTACATACAAGAATTCCCTTTTCACATGCAGCCTCACCAAGTTAACTGCAAAAATACACTGGAGAGCACAGAGGGCACAAGGAAAACACTTCCTATTTCACAATTGTACTCCAGGATCCCAAATTTAATAATCCATGCATCAAAAACCACACTTTGCCTTCACATTGCCACATTATTCTCACATCAGAGGAACACATTGATTTCCAACATGAAATAAAGGAGCAGCAACTGAAAACAACTTATTTCTTCTGGATCTGTGTTTTTAAATGAAAAAGTAGGATAACAAATAGCAAACAAACCCTGGTTTCTTACGTGGTCAGTTTTATGTTCCAAGTTAAATAAAAACGTGGCACCAACACTGAAATTTACAAAGCATGAAGAGATCTGGATATTAACAAACTCTTTCAAAAATTAAATGCAAACTTGATTTAAGAAAAAAACCTGATATTTCTCTGGCTTTGTAAATACTCTGCAGCCCAAGCTAAGCAACCTCATGTTAAGCACAAAACCAAGGAAAATGACTGGAAATCATTTAAATCTCCTGAATAGAACATGCAACACTTTTGTGTGCACAAAGCCAACTTCTCTTCATCCAAGTTTAGTTTTGAAGCAATTCCTGCATGGGAAAGTGTTGGCAGAACGTGCACTGCTCATTTATCTAGGAAAGGGAAGTTCTGCCCTCACTCATTCTTTGGTGAGAGAACAAACCCCTGAAGGATTTTTTTAAAGTTCCCAACAACCTCCCTGTACACACTTGCAGAAAATGATGGAAATAACTCAGTGAGGAAATAACTCAGTTGGAAATAACTCAGTGAGGCTTTGTGTTTTTCCAGGCATCACTTCCTCAGTGATAGCTTCAAGCTCCTGGAAACTGGCAATCTCATAATGAAAATTATTACCCATTCTTTAAAAGACACCAAAATACCTCAAAACTCATTTCCAAATGGCAGAGACTGCAGGCCTTGGCCAAAATGTGTATTGATGTATTAGGAGGGTTTTTTAAATCAGAAAAAAAAGTCATATTTAAACCCAGTATCCTTTAAACTGTTTTTTAAGCACAGACTAAGAAAACATTTAAAGATATTCCTCAAATTTTTTTTCTTAACAAGAGAGGTTTTGATGAATTAAAAACCAGATCTTTAGTCACATGAATAGACTTTCTTTTCATTTCAGAAGAAATGAGGATGTTAAGGAAATACATGAACAAACTGTGTGACACTAGAAATGAAAACACAGTATTTTTCAAGCTAAAGATTGTTCACAGCTTAAAAAAAAGCACCTCCTTACCTGCAAAGCTGAATGAAAACACTTATATTACTGACACATGGATCTACTTGTCACTTTGTATTAAAACCACTTTTGTAAATTACTTTAATGAGAGTAAGAAAAAAAAAAAACCTGACACAGAAATACTTACATTTCATTCACTCTCTCTTCTGGGCCCTGAACTTGGCCTGTCACAGTTCCTTGGCTGGTATTTTTCACCCAGCCAACCACTCCTAATTTCTTGGCTTCCTGTTCTGTGTACTGGTTTGGGAAATAATGAAAGAGGACAGTCAGTGCCAGCACAGACAGAACACTTCACCCTCCCCTTGCATTTGCCCAGCTCTAAGAGCTACACTTAAAAAATAAAAATCCCTGAGTGATGCTCATCCTCAGGCATTCAGATGTTCCTGGCAGCTCTGGAGTTGCAGTGGGCACAGCTCATTTCCCAAAAAGAACAAAGTTTTGATCACAAAGGACTCCACTAATCCCACACCATTCCCTTGTACCTACTTGATTCCTTTCCATAGCTCCTATCACTGCTCATTTGACCCTTCAATCACCACACAGTTTTTAAACTCATTAAATCTGCTACATGTACAAACTTCCCAGTTCCCTTTCAAATCCTTTCCACCTGACTTTCACCCTTTAAATCCTACCCCCAGCTGCTGCATTTCTACTGGCAAACAGCAGCAAAGGTCATAATCTGTTAGGAAAAAAAAAAGAAGCATATTTCTGCAATACCTAAAAATTATGCTTTCCCAGCCACCCAGTTGTGATGAAATTCACAAATAGCAAGAGCCAAACTTCAGGTCTGTATGACCAATTCCAACAGACAAAATGTGCTTTGGGGTGATGCAGCCAATGAAAAAGTGATGCTAACTATGAAGAGTGTTTTCCAAGGTGATCATGAGCAGCTTCTCCAAACTAATTTGCCCAAAAGCACAGGAATGCAGCTGCAAACCTTCTCCTCAGTACTAGCACTGAGCTGTGTGCTCACACAGCTTTGGGTCAGCTCAAAACAAGGCACAGCAAGCTTGGACTCACCCTTTAATCTTGATAGAATAACTAAATTCAAGGCAAACCCCACTGCAGTTCTCTGATCATTTCCACTTGGCACTATTTCACAGTATAAACTATACATAAAATCTCTCAGGTTTAATATTAAGCATGGGGCACTATTTTGAGACAAAACCACTATTCTTACTTTAATTGTGTCCTCTTGTTTCATGGGTTTCTGTGAAATGCAAAACCAGCTGCTGCACTTCAGAGCTGCTGGAGTCACTTGCTCAGGGAATGAGCCACAAAGTGCTTATTTGTAGCAAATCTTTCCCCAGTAACCTTCCTTAAGTACAGGCACTGAGTTGTCACTTGAAAAATTAAACACTTTATTTCCTATTTAACCTTTCTAAAGATTAAGGTGTTACAACATTCTTGTGGCTGTTACATCACAAGTAATCCAAACCACAATCTATACAAGCAACACATTATTAAGCTTCTAAAAATCCATTTTAATGTAAAACCATTTTAAGTCTACTCAGAGTACTTAACCATCCAACCAAAGTTCAGGCTGGATATATTTACACTCCACAGACCTGCTGCCTTATTTTTAGCACTGGAAACATTATACCATAAAGTAGCCAGCAAATCCAGCATTGCCTTACCATCCTGAAACAAACACCTAAAAAAGAAAAAAAAAGAAAAAAGAAAAAGAAATTAGAGTCCTGTCAAAGTATATCACCTGCAGGAATTTCAGTTTATATAAAGGAGCAATGATGTGCATGCAAGTCACCCCGTGGTGCTTTACTATGTAAATTTCAGGGGCGTTAATATCAGGGAAACTGCTCAGGACTTGTGTTTAAGCCTTCCCTTCGTCACACGATTATTATATTCACACATTAATGTATTTAAGTGAAATAATACATGCATTTAAGTGAAAACGCCGCGGTGTGTGAATGGGAAGGACGGGAGGGGCATTTCCACACACCCGCGCTGACAGAAGCCACGAGCGGAATGGGAACTACTTTGGACAGAGCAGCTTGTGCTCCAGGGGGAGACGAGCCTTAGGGCGGGGGAATATTTACAACGATTTAAAATTTAAAAACAAGCAAACAAACCAAACACTCAACCAAAAAACTTTCGCGTCCCCCCGGGTACGCGGCGCGGGCTCCCGCCTCCCCTCAGGCCG